CCATTACTCCTTGCAGTCTCTTTGTAAGAATTTTGGATATCAGTTTATACAAAATTGTGCAGCATGATATGGGCCTAAATTGCTTGATAGTGGAGGGGTTCTTACCTTTTGGTATTAATGTAACTGTAGTGCAATTGATAGGCATATGCATGGTCTTTGTATTGAAGAAGGACACGACAACATTAGTTACCTCATTCCCTATAATGTTCCATGCTTTCTTGAAGAAAAACGCATTGAAACCATCACAGACTGGCGCTTTCAGGTCATCTATATCTTTTAGAGCATTCATCACTTCCATTCTTGACACTGGTGCTATCAGTTTCAGTTGCATCTCTCTGTTCAGACAAGGTCCATTTTTCATTTCTATGGGGTTTATTACAGGTATAGAGTTAGCTGCTGAGCCCAGTAGTCGTTTTAGAATCCTATGATCTCTTCTTGAATTGCTTTTTCACTCTGTAGCATTACACCATTATTATCGATCAAACTTCTGATTTTATTTTGGGATAGTCTATTCTTCACAGAGGCAAAGAAGTAGGCTGTATTTGCATCCCCCAATTGCAACCATTGGTTTCTAGATTTCTGCTTTGTTATACATTCTTCAATAAGGATCCACTTCTCTAGTTGCTCTCTAATTGATTTCTCTTCCTTTTTTAATTTCTCTGATATCCCCCTAATTCTCAACTCTTCCTGGACTGACCATAGTTGTTGTCTACTCTTTTTGATTTTCTCATCAACTCCTGAATAGTGAGTATTGTTGAGTTGTTTCAGTTTGTGTTTCACTTTTTTCAGTTTTTCCCATACTCTCTGCATATTCACCTCTTTATCCATGCTGATCCACCCTTCTATTGCTTTTTGCTGAAATTTTTCATGTTCTGTTATGACATTGAAAAATCTAAATGGCCTATATGTCTTCTTCTTGTGATCCTCCAATCTAATAGCTAACGGACTATGGTCAGAAAAAGCAAAGCGCCATGATTATAATATCAAAATGTGGATATTTGAGCATCCATTCTGCATTTGCCACTCCTTTGTCCATCTTACTGCTAACTGAGTTATTCGACCATGTGTACTTTGCCCCTATACTTCTTAGCTCTGCCATATGACAATCATTCATAAAGTCTTTAAAATCTTTAACCCCAGATTCATGTATCTGGTTGCCATTTATTCTATCCTCTATATTCAACACTGCATTAAAGTCTCCTAATGCTAGCCATGGTCCTGCTTGATCATTTTGAATTTGCCTTAGTTCATGCCATAGACTTCTCCTATCACCAATTGTATGCAAACCATAGATAGCTGTGAAGTTAAAACTCATCTTGCTATCCAATATGCAAACCTGCCCATGAATGAGTTGTACATGAGTAACTTCTACTGTGAAACTGACCCTGTTAGGATCCCACAATAGCCAGATTCCTTCTTTATCTCCTGTTCCATAGTTGTTGCACCAGTTCCACTGTGGAGCTATTTTATTTTTGATCTTTTTTGTGACTACTTCTGTCACTCTATGTTATATTATAGTTATTATTGCTATATTATTTTCCTTTATAAACTCCTTCATCTCCTTCTGTTTGTACAACTTATTCAAACCCCTTACATTCCATGTGACTAACTTCATCTTGGAATGAATAAGTGTTGTTTCTCCCCTCCTCTACTTGTGCTACATTGTCCTGCTTCCATCCCCTGTTTGGTTATAGCAAATTGCAAAAGATCACCTGTTGCTAGAGGGTCAAAACCATTTTCGGTCTGCATTCCTTCATTTTGATAGCTCACTGGAGACTTGCCTGTTGATTTCCCCCTCACTCTTATCCACCCTTCTTCCTTTTCTATTGTATTTTCTTTTGTCGGTTCTTTCTCTATAGTTGGTAGCTCATCCATCTTAGTTTTCTTAGGATTGCTTTGTGCCTTTGCTATCTGTGTTCCCCTTTGTGCGTGCCATTCTTGTCTCTGCTTAGAGGCATTATTTCTCAATTGCTTTGGTTGCTCTTTGACCTGTTCTTATTTCTCCTTTTCCTGGAAAGAGTGTCCCAATTGTAGGCAAACATTACAATATTCAGGGCACCAATCATAGGTCACTACCTGCTCAAAACATCTACCATTTGGATCCTTCACATCGATCTTTTCAGGGAGTTTTTTTTGTGATGTTAATCTCAATTAACACACGAGCATAAGAAATTCTATCCACTCTGGTAGTACAGTCATCAGTATACAGGGGTACTCCCAAACTACTTGCTATTCGACTCAGGGATGTCGTCCCCCAACAATTCAAAGGTAAGTTTGGAAATCTTACCCATATTGGCAAAGTATTCAGTACTTCCTCCTGGAAGTTGAAATCAGCTGTCCATGCCCTTGTTATTATCGGCTTGTTGTTTATAGTGTTGGGGGATGCATATAATACCTTGTCTCTGTCCTCTATACTGTGGAATCGAATTAGAAAATAGCCATCGTTATGGTAGTAGACTCTTGGCTTTGCAGCAATTCCCCATTGACTTGCTATGAACCTCTCTACAACCCCAATTGTAGGGGAGTCCCCAACCACATAGAAGACAATTGCCTTGCCCCATTTTTCAGTTTCCTCTTCCACTTCTTCTTTTTCTAATTCTACGATTTTAACACCATCTCGTATAGTGGGGGCGATGTAGCTCAGATTCATACCTTTGGAAGCATATTTGTTTCCTTCAAACAAGTTCACTCAGGGCAGTTTGGTTGGTAGATCATGCCCTAGGTCTAGTCTTTTTTGCGCCTTATTCGTCTCTGCCACTAGGTTCCCATTTTGATTTTCTGAACTAAGTGCTATTTATCCTTGCTTACATCTTTCACTTCCTCCACTGCCGCGGAGAGTGGCGTTTTGGCCTTCTCATTGCAGCTGGGTAGAGCAGGCCATGGACCCTCCTTTTGTGGCAATTGATCCCTTGGCGTATCAGTAATCAGCATGCTTGTGCTCAAAGGCCCCTTTGTGGGCAGTGTAAACTTCTCCGCCATCATCTTTGCTGGTGCGGTGCAAATTTGGTCATTCACATCCCCTCTAAGATCCTCCTGCTCTGAGTTCTCAGTTCCCATGGGTCGTCGATTAACCTTTGTCAATTTCACATTTAATAGTTCAATTCTGTGAGTTGCTTTTTTTGCTAGGCCCGTAGCCATTTCCGGCGACAGCGTACGTTAGTAATCACCACTATCGTACGCCTTGAGAGGAAGAGCTAGAGAGCTGTCATAATTACGTCATAATGATTTTAAAAGAAATTATATTTCATCCCGTTCTTGTAATCTTTTATGTTAATTACACTAAACATTCTTGTAATATAACTCAATTTTGGACATACCCTTGTATTTTGAAATCGTTAACATTCTTTATACTATGAAAATTCTACACTTACACTTACTATAAGGTATAACCATAAATAATTATATTAAAATATAGTAATTATTAAAATTATAAATAAAATTTATGTTATTTCTTTACGTAAACAGCCTTCTTGATTATACTATTTTTTTTCACAACAGAATTGTCAAACACCAAAATTGCCCTTAACCTAAACTAACATATGTGAGCTTCTATTAGGTCAGGGATGAAAATGGCGCAATAAATTTAATAAAAGGTCAGATATGCTAAGTCAAACAATACAAGGACCAAAACTGTTATTTCTCTTAATGTTTATTACAAAGAATTTTTGTAATTATTCTATAAACAAATGCAAAAATTACTTTTAAACCATTAGGGTAAACAATTTAATCTTTTCCTAGTATTTCAATTCATGTGTCGTACTTTTCTTTTTAATTTATCTCAATAAAAATATTTTTTATTCTAATATATTTATTTATTCTTAATGGCACTTTCTTATATAATATGTTTAAAATCACAATATACAAAAATGTTTTTGATATTTTATACCACCTTAGTTTAAAAGGATAAGATTCAAAAATATGTTTTATGTTCTTAAATTTCATGTGTAGTTAATTAATAGAGATCAGACGCTAAGATCATCACATGCACACAAAAAAAAAGAGGAGTTGTTACTGGTTCAACTCTATTAGATACTATATATATATAGTGCTTGTAACACAAAAAATTATTTGGTATTAGTTCAAGATTCATTTGAAGTAGAATCTGGATATATAAGCTAAAAATGAAATATTCTGGAAAAAGTTTACACATAAGAAAATTGGCAAAACTAATACATAACTAAGTAAAAAAGATACGATAACAGAGATAAAAGGAAGTAGCAATACTAGATATTTGTACTCAAAGTTAAGAAAATTGAGATTTAAAATATTTAACATCACGAAGTCAAGTAAGTCAAAATACATGATGACTTAGTCATGCACAGAAGCGGACCTATGCTTATACAAGAGAGGTCGGTCTCTGTTAATTTTAGTAAGAATATATATATATTCTGCATATATAAGTATAATATATTAAAAACGATTAAATATTTTGCTTGAATTTTTTAAAAATAAAAGTTCGACGAAGGTATTGATTGACTAGTTCGCTCACACCTTCAAATTCTTGGTCCGTCTCTCGCCATACGTACCTTTTAAAACGACAAATATATTAGATTTAGTGGACGTAATATACTTGATTTTAATATAATGCAAAATTGAATGACTGACTTCTTGACTTTCTACTTAATTTCAATCACAAAATCTGGTAAAGAATGCACATATTAATTCCACGTCAACAACGTAAGTATCTTAATGTTCTAATCACTCCAAGCACATTATTAGCATGTTGAATATTGTTTTCTCGAAATATAAACGCACGATATTAAATTAAAGTCATCAAAAACACTATATATGTACAAAGGAGAAAATAAGGAAAAGCAAAATAGTGAACCATAATCTTCTTCAAAACGCGTCGACATAGTAGTAACGACTGTGTATAACTATATCATACGTGTCACGTCACCACCATGCAAAAGTCCGAGAACTCAACACGTGTCACTTCTTTAGACACTTAAAACCAATAGAAATGAAATTGGATAAAATCTTACTTCTAACTCTTATGAGTCTGATTTTATAGTTGAAAATAATGGTGTGATAAAAGAAAAAGAAGACAATGGCGACAGTTTCACCACCTCCATGGCAAGTTCTTGTTCTTGTTTCAAACCATCTTGATCCAAAAACACTAGCTATAGCTTCATGTGTATGCAAATCATGGTCTATTTCCATGTCTTCAGATCAAATATGGCAACCCCTTTGCTCCACTCATTACCCTTCTCTCTCTACACTTCATACTTGTTATAATCCCACCGTCTCTTACCGGCAGTTATACGCCCTGGGTCATAGGGCGAATAACCGCCGGCTGAAACAGCCGTTGAAACCTCGTATTTCCCTTAATAACATTATTTTTGCACTTAACATCTATAAAACCACTACACGCATGGTGACTTTAGTCAAGCATGGAAGCCAACTTTGTTTCGACAAGAAGGGTGTTTTTCGGTTCGATATTGATGTCGAGCAATGGCAAAGGTAAGTGTTGGAGGGTGTTTTTTATAATAGCTGTCAAACTTCTTTATAACCGTTAAATCTTTTTATAACAGCCTCGTTTTCTAAATAATTTTGAATGTTAGCGGATTCAAATATTTTTTAGTGTTAGCGAAGTGGTGTGATAGAGAACCTATGTCATAAAATAACACATGAAAATTGGTTCCGGAAAAATTTGACTTTTATAGTGAAGTTTGTTACGTAGGGATGATGTTATATAGGAAATGGTTTCAGTATATATATTATGTTTAATCTCCTTGATTGTGAAACTTTCACTTCCAACCAAGAGGTTGTGAGTTCGAGTCTACCCAAGAGCAAGGTGGGAAGTTCTTGGAGGGAAGGATGTCGATGGTCTATTTGGAAACAGCCTCTCTACCCCAGTGTAGGGGTAAGGTCTGCGTATACACTACCCTCCCCAGACCCACTAAGTGGGATTATACTGGGTNCTCACTAAGTGGGATTATACTGTGTTGTTGTTGTTGTGATTGTGAAGTGTATTCAATCATGTTTCAAGTTTGCATTTTTTTGAATTTTTCATGTCAGGATTCCTGGCTCTGCCACTGATGTCAAGAACGGGGATTTGGGGCCGTTTGATTCACTCGGTGACTTGAGGGTGACATGGGATGTGATTTTGGAAGGTTTTAAAGGAGTTTTTAATGTGATGAATTGTAGAGGGAAAGGGAGGTTTGTTTTAGGGTTGGAAGGGTGGTTTTCCGAGGAGTTGCCGCCACCGGGATGTTGCTCGAGCGACACGGTTAGCGGGCTCGTGGCGGATTTGAGGTTAGGGTTGAAGGTAGAAGATGGAAGAGCGGTGGTTGAGAGGATGAGTGCAGGGGTTTTGAGTATAGTGAGTTGGAGATATCTTTTTGTTGAAGATGCTCTTAGATATTTGCAGCATTTTCTTTCACCTTGTGATGTGTAAATAATGTTGGAAACTAGAAATAGTTTTTTGTGCAAATAGTTCACATAATTAAGTCATGTACTATTGACAGTTTTTGATACGGACGCCCAAAATCAGCCTATGTAAATAGAGTATTACCGCTTCAGTTCTCTCTTGAATACTTGCTTTCATGATATTATAATGATTTAAGAAGAAAAACTGCAGGACAAACTAGTTCTCTATTTTAATGCTAGCCTATTTTAAGTCTGCAATTCCATAGGACGACATGTAAATTTCATTCATATATATTATTCCTAATCTGGTTAGGTAAAAAAGGAGATAAATAAAAACATAGGAAGAAGCAATTTCTCTCACTACTGTTAGGTAAAATCTCCAGCAAGATATACAAATATGCTATAGTACGAACATTATATAGAAGAATTTATACACCAAACTTTAGGGATTTCAAAATCCTAAATAGTAGGAAAATATTTAAATGGTTATTCCTATATATTAGATAAATAATTTAATTACGGTATTATTCAATGTGAACTCTATATTTAAAGGGTAAAAAAAATGAATGACATTTTGTTAAGGACCTTCGTGCTTTTAATATAATACTAGTTACTATGTACGTGTGTTGCACGTAAATATTTAGCCAGAACTTTTATGTGAAAGAACAACTAACTAAATTTAGTAACAAATTATTTACAAGATGAAATAATTATTATAAAGTAATTAACGTGATAAAATACTTCTTTATAGATGACATTTTTGGTGTATGTTTCATTCTATAACTTTGACTTCTCCCTCTTAAAAGTGAAACATATTATTAGCCTGTTTGGCCAAGCTGTGATCACGCCCAACTATACCTTATAAAAAGGACAATGCGATCGTTGCAAATATAATTCGGTTTACAAGTCCGGAGTCGAATCCCACAGAGAACTAAGGC